AATCATGTTCCAATCCTAACACATATCGATATCTATCGAGGTACATCTAATATTGACGAAAACATCAGCACTATCGGAATGTCCTAAATGAACTGGTTTGAAATAGACAAAACCGAAACAACGCAGATCCAAATTAATAGTAGGGCATTACGCAAGCAGCTGTTAGCCAAGGTCCACAAGAACCCGCGTTCAGTGACCCTCTGGTCCATCCGGTCCCTTACGGAGTGGAGAATGCGGCGATCCGCCCTCTGAAGGCCGTGTCTGACGCAATCAGGGGACCTTCCAGCCCCCCACAAGTACAATGTGCTTGGACCAGTGATGGTGGGGGTGAAAGACCCCTAAGCTTTTGGTATTGACGGGAGTAGATGTTTCAAGAGGCAATTGGCACATGTTCTTTAGTCATTCGAGAAGTTTTTCCTTCAAGGGGCGATCAATGACAAGATCGGTTGTTTGTCCCAAGAGATCCTCGCTGTATTACTCTCTTGGGAGTGACAATCAGTGGAACCAGATGCCAATGCACTGAAGTTTCGCAAATCCCGCTCTCCTCAAGACCGCCAGATGAGAGACGATCAACTCTGCGGATGTTGCTCCGGGAGGGCTTGAGGTGTTTCCCTTTAGGATAGTCCTATTAGATTGGTTATTTGATGCATGTGATACACATGCACACTGTATATACGATGTCCGTACGGAGTACGGAGTAAACAACTGGGAATCGATAGATGAAACTTGAATCACCATCTCTAACAATCTGTGGAAGATAGCCTCATCTGTACCCAAAATCACCTTTGATGGAGGTCCATACAAACTACCGAAACAGTATTGCGGTACTAATTTAACCATAGCCAACAATGTGCCAATGCCTACATCGGTGGCGTTTTTAGCCTGACTACATTGGATCGAGATTCAATGGTTGCCCCTATCCATATCGCCCCTTTTTCCCTCTCCAAGTTTTTTTTTTTTTTTTTTTTTAATTCTTCTAGAATAATGTTCCGAGATTGGGATTGATATGATAACGGGCATTCCAGAGGGAGGACCCTGAATGTTTATCCAATACCCGCCAAGGGAATTCTAATATCAACTTACCCGCATGCGAAAGGTGAATGCATATTTCATGCACTCTAGGCCCCTGCTTTTGGAGGTATCATGATAAGCTCAAACCCAATAACGGCTTTACACCGAATGTGATATGTTAAGTTTTGACCAGGGTTTTTTTATTACGGTGTGATGAGATGAGATTGCCTTACGCGTTCCTCTTACTCCATGTAGAGAGTAGGGAGTACTGGTCTCTAAAAGAGCACTGCCTCCCCCTGAGTAGATTATTGTAATTGCAATTGAGCTTGTCAATATGATAGGAGGACCTACTTCGAGGTTTGATAAAAGAAAATTTAATATAAATCTCAAAAATCAAAAATCAAAAGGAAATTAATGTCGAAATAAAAAGCAAAATAATAACAAAGAACCAATATCAATACGAATCAGTAAAGCTGAAACAGGCACGTCGTCTCCACCGGATCCGTTTAACCCACAAAACCAGGTGCGTCTAGATACCCTTAGCTTGGTTGGTCACGTTGTCCTCCCACTTCCCCTTCTTCTTTGGTTCCTCCGCTTCCTTGCCCTTTATTATCCCTCCATTCCCCCTCTGAATATTCTGCAGATTCCTGCAGCTGTGCTTCTATGCTGAACGTCGCCCGCAAGACATTCAAACGAGTCCCCAGCTTTCAGGACCTCCTACAAGGCAGAATGACCCACCCCGACATGTAAGGCCTAGCTCATTCACCCATGTCTGCCATCTCTAACAATTGCTTTACAGTTCTGTTGACGTTCTCGTCATTGGTGCTGGCCCAACTGGTTTGGGTGCCGCCAAGCGTTTGAACCAGATTGTAAGTCTTGTTTCCCTGAATATTTACTGTGTCGGAGAGGGGCACATGTAAACAAAAAAAAAGGGGGAGGGGTATTTGGGAATCAAGAATCTAATTGAATATACAGAATGGCCCCTCATGGATGATTATCGACTCAAACGAGACCCCTGGTGGTTTGGCTTCCACTGATGTTACCCCCGAAGGTTTCGTAAGTTGCGACTTGGTTTCAATTGCGTCCTCACCGCTAACCTGGCACACAGCTGTACGATGTCGGCGGCCACGTTATTTTCTCCCACTACAAGTACTTCGATGACTGCATCAACGAGGCCCTCCCCAAGGAGGCGGATTGGTACACCCACGAGCGTATCTCCTACGTTCGCTGCCAGGAGCAATGGGTTCCTTACCCCTTCCAAAACAACATCTCCATGCTGCCCAAGGAGGAGCAGGTGAAGTGCATTGACGGCATGATCGATGCTGCTCTTGAGGCCCGTGTCTCCAACACCAAGCCCAAGGATTTCGATGAGTGGATCGTCCGCATGATGGGTACTGGTATTGCCGACCTCTTCATGAGACCCTACAACTACAAGGTCTGGGCCGTTCCCACCACCAAGGTAAGTTTGATTTGTTTTCCATGGGATTGAAAATAATACTAATCAATTATGTTTAGATGCAATGCGCTTGGCTCGGTGAGCGTGTCGCTGCCCCCAACGTCAAGGCCGTGACTACCAACGTCATCCTCAACAAGACCGCCGGTAACTGGGGTCCCAATGCTACCTTCCGTTTCCCCGCCCGCGATGGTACTGGTGGTATCTGGATTGCTGTTGCCGACACTCTCCCCAAGGAGAACACCCGCTACGGACCCAACAACAAGGTCGAGAAGGTCAACGCCTACAACAAGACCGTCACCCTCGCCGATGGCACCACCATTGGTTACGGAAAGCTGGTCTCCACCATGGCCGTCGACTACCTCGCCGAGGCTATGAACGACGCCGAGCTCATCCCCCTCACCAAGCAGCTCTTCTACTCCTCCACCCACGTTATCGGTGTTGGTATCCGTGGTGCCCGTCCCGACCGCATCGGCGACAAGTGCTGGCTGTACTTCCCCGAGGATGACTGCCCATTCTACCGTGCCACCATCTTCTCCAACTACTCCCCCCACAACCAGCCCGAAGCCTCCAAGAAGCTGCCTACCCTTCAGCTCGCTGACGGCTCCAAGCCTAAGAGCACCGAGGCTCAGGAAGGTCCCTACTGGTCCGTCATGTTGGAGGTTTCCGAATCTTCCATGAAGCCCGTCAACCACGAGACTCTCCTTGCCGAATCTATCCAGGGTCTCGTCAACACCCAGATGCTCCAGCCCGGTGATGAGATTGTCTCCACCTACCACCGCCGCTTCGACCACGGTTACCCTACCCCCACCCTGGAGCGTGAGGGTGCCCTCACTCAGATTCTTCCCAAGCTCCAAGAGAAGGGTATCTGGTCCCGTGGCCGCTTCGGCAGCTGGCGTTACGAGGTCGGCAACCAGGACCACTCCTTCATGCTCGGTGTCGAGGCTGTTGACAACATTGTCAACGGTGCCGTTGAGTTGACCCTCAACTACCCCGACTTTGTCAACGGTCGCCAGAACACCGAGCGCCGCTTGGTCGACGGTGCCCAGGCTTTCGCCAAGAAGTAGTAGATAATTCCCCCTTATTTCTTTTTAACGTGCCCCACCATTCTTGTCTGAAGTGAAGGATTCTTTTTTTTTTTCCTCTCTCCATTTTTTGATCCAATTGAAACGAGCTCATACCGTCATGGAAACACTATACACGTGAGAGCATTTGAAGCGGCATCTGGAAGACGATCGATCTTTGTTGGCGTTTCATCTTGTTACTTAACACCATCCAACCCTCTTCACCTTATCATCTACCTATTCCCTCTTCCATTAGCCGAGAGCCGGGACTTGCTTTTGATACACTTTATTAGACTGCCTTGATATGTGCGATTGCTCATTTTTAATTCATTCAGTTGAAGAACCTCATTCCCTTTCCAAGTAGAATGCATTGGCCTTCTCTGAAACCAACAGCCACGTGACTTATCCACGTGACCAATGGCACTGTGCAGCCTCAGGCCCCTCCCCAGAAGTTCTAAAAATCAAAAAATCCAGCCAAGTTCATTCGAAGGACAACCTTGGAAATATCCAAGCTAAGCCCTATGTGGGCAGAGTGTTTCGTGGCATTTCCCATCCAACCTTGACACCCCACCAATACCATTGCCCCCCTCAGAGTTACACTCGCCACAATGCAGATCACCAACCAGACAATCGCTAATACACACCACAAGAGCCTCTCTATCTGAGCCATGTCCATCCATGAACCTAGAAACCCAAACCCCCCTGAATTGCAAACCCCTGGATTCAACATGATCAGTCTACTAGCAAACGCCATCCACACACGGAAGTTTTCCGGAACACAAAGCATTCAAGGTTATTCTACGCGGTGGCGTAGTGGATCCGCACGGAGAACGCGGGCACCATGAGCCAGTCGTATCGAGGATCGAAACATGTACAATCTAAACGGTATGTTGTATGCAATGCAAGCCAAAGAAAATTCCGAGTAAGCCATGTCAGCAATGCCGAGTGACGTAGGCAGCGGATTCCAGCGTTCTCACGGTGAGATGTGTCAATGGTTAAAAGGCACTGCCTAGGCCGCGTCAGATCTGGAGGCAGCCAGGTTCCTCTCCACTGAACTATTGATAGATTTGGGTTGCCGATATCGTTGTTTCAGATGTGAATTGTTTACTGACATTCTAGATTGCTTCTTTTGCATTTTAACTTGAGACATTGTAGTCTGGACCAAGGCTTGAGGGTTTATTTTTGGGTTTTCCGCTTATGCGTTAGGCTGGTTCTATATCTCATATTGGGGGTTAAATATTATTTCATACTTCCATTTCCCCGTATGATCGACCATGGGGTCTTGGGGCGAGAAACATCATACCATAAATATACAGAAACAAAGTCGACTGGGTCAATGTCTTTGAAGGCCACTGGTATCGGTATCAATAGAAACCCCGCTGAGACAGCTCATAGTGGACTCGAAGAGAAGAGGCCAAACCGCTAGCACAAAGCCACCAATTTCAAGCATCCACGATATCTTGATATCGCTCTTAGATGGCGATTTTGGTGTGAGAGCCACCGTCCTCGGCAACGCTATTGGTCGCGCTAGCAGGCGAAAATGCCCCCTCGGCCAAGACTGCCTCGTAAGACATAGTGGACGCTAAGGTTAGGTCCCGGGGTGGGACGCTTGCGGTGGCCGGACTTGACGACACACCACACGACAAGAATGAAACCTGCGGCGTCGAGGCTGGCGAATCAATGGACATGGGTGTATATATAGCATCTGTGTGGCTTGGCCGGTGGTTTTCTCCGCGACAATCTCGATCTGCCCGGGGATTGGATTGTTAGATAGAGCCGGTATTTCAATTTTGGGACTTCGACATACCTGTTTCTTCGGGAGGGGCCTTGCCGCTATGGAGTTCAGGTTCCTGCGGCGACAGAGCAAATTTCACCGTCAGTCGCGGTGGGTCAACAGACCGGTCAGCTTGCGATTGTATTCCAGTGGAAATTGTCAATTGTAACGAGGACTGTTGGTTTGGGTTTGGGGATTTGAGGCATGACTTCGTCACGGAAGTGTGTGGAATTGCATTTGTGAAAGCATAGCTCCTCTCTCTTGGGGAAGTAGGCTCAAAACATGAGGTTCCTTCTTGACTCAGGCCTGTGGCATCAATTTCCACATCAGATTCTGTAGAGGTACAGTAGCCGAGGGAAGGATCCATTGTTTCATCACAGCTCTCATCTTCTAGGTGCAGCTGCTCGAATTCGATACTCAGGGTATGACGGATATAGATCCGCTGAAGGTGAGATTCAACATCACCTTCCTCCAGGGCAATGATGGTTGGGGGCCGTCTGATCATGTTTTCCGGGATGAAGTATTATCAGTTGCACAGAGAGCTCTGGAGGTCCCGTATATAGAAACATCGCGTCTTAGAGGAAGTCGCGGTATCTTCACAATTTAAGAAACCTCGACCAGGATATGTGGCCGAGATTATATTGGAAGAATGATTAATCTCTATAATAGTAAGTCAGTAATTCAGTAGGTCAGTAAATGCCAGTATAAATCTGTACAATATAACTGTATTCTGTCCACTCGAAACTGGACAAATCAGATATACCCATTCCATCTCACCACTCCAAGGGATTAAAATAACACGCATGTGTATTCTTTTTGCACTCTGAGTCTCTCTCTCTTTTTCTCTGTCTCTAATTCTCTAGGAAATACCCTGAAGGAAATATTAATAGTCAAGTCAGGCTCAGCCCCTCGACACTAGACCTAATTTCTACGGAGCCTCCTGTTGATCCTTTCCCCCTCTCTCCAACGTCGACTCTCTCACTCACTCACACCTCTATATTTTCCCCCAACTCTTCATCGGATCATGCATCCGCTGCGTTTCCGATAGCCTGTCTTTCGTTGACTTTTCGACCTTCCTTCCCCTAAAGCCCTCCGGCATATCTTCGGTCGCGGCCAAATCACAAAATCTCCGCCATGAACGGGGATCTCAGCCTGTCCCAGACTCTGGGAGGGCTTCGGATAGCCAATCCAGACGATTCGCCTCTCCCAACGGAGGATGCGACCGCTGGGTCAACAGGCTCCAGTCCGTTCGGACGGCCGGACGGTTCGGTATCAACACAACAAAATCCCGCACATGACGAACACCCCTCTGCCTTTCCTCCTGCACCCGTCGAAGTCCCTATGACAGAGGATCGTCAGACCTCATTCCTTCAAGCCTCCCCCGAGATACCACCATTGCAATCAGGCACATACCAGCCGTACTCGGCTCCACCCCTCTCAACACCTCCGAATCCCAACCGACCCCTTTCCTCCGTATACCTGAATGGCTCAGCAACCTCGGTCCTCCCCCGTGATAACACATATCGTATTCGAACCGATTCCGGTGCTTCATCCCAGTCGGGGTCTCAGGCGCGGTTAGATACACGAGGAGGATCGTCGGCATTACATGCCGGTGTTCTTGCGCGCGACAACTCCCACAGCGATCGATCCTACCGGACTGCGCAGATCCCGGGCAACGGCCCGGCGGTGATGCGGCAGTCGTCTCGAGCACAAGCAAGAGGTGGCGGCGCGTCTCAGATGCCCCGAACGTCTTACATGGCAGAAAACGGCCCAATGGCGAGTAGCGAGGAATGGCAAGACCGTGGTGCTGCGGTCTCTGTGAGGCAGGAGGTTGATGCCAATGGCCAAACTGTGTCTCGTTATATCAAGAAGGGCGTTCGAGACTTTTCGTTTGGGAATACTCTCGGCGAAGGTTCCTACAGTACGGTCGTCTTTGCAACGGACCGACAGACTTTGAAGGAATACGCGATTAAAATCCTTGACAAACGACACATTATCAAGGAGAGAAAAGTTAAATACGTAAACATCGAGAAGGACACACTCAACCGCCTGACCGACCACCCGGGTATTGTGCGGCTATATTACACTTTCCAGGATGAACAGTCGCTATATTTCGTGCTGGACCTGTGCAAAGGGGGAGAATTGCTCGGTGTTCTCAAACGGATGACCACGTTTGATGAGGAGTGTACAAGATTCTACAGCGCCCAGATTCTTGACACGATAGACTACATGCACAAGCGAGGCGTCATCCACCGCGACCTGAAGCCGGAAAATGTGTTACTCGACAGCGGGATGCATGTCAAGATCACTGATTTCGGAACGGCAAAGATTCTCAAGACTCCACGAGCTGACCCCAGTTCAAATGGCATTCTTCCTCTTGACTCGGCCGAGCTTACACAGGAAGAGCGGGCAAGCTCCTTCGTTGGCACTGCGGAGTATGTCAGTCCCGAGTTGTTGACCGACAAAAATGCATGCAAAGCCAGTGACCTCTGGGCTTTTGGCTGCATCATCTACCAGCTTTTGGCCGGTCGTCCACCATTCAAGGCTGGAAACGAGTACCAGACCTTCCAGAAAATTGTGGCACTTGACTACGAGTTCCCAATTGGATTTCCTACTGTTGCGCGTGATCTTGTCGAACGTCTTCTCGTGCTAGAGCCTGCACGGCGTCTTCAGATCGAACACATCAAAAACCATGAATTCTTTAACGGCATCACATGGGGCTCAGATCTATGGCAACAGAAAGCGCCCCGCTTGAAGGCCTATGTACCCCCCGCACGAGACCCTATCAAGCTCAATGACAGTAAAAATGGGGAGAGTCAGCCTCCAGTCATCTCCACTGCACCCTCGAACGCAGCAAATGCCAGTTCCCGCCACCTTCCACGAGTAGTAACTGAGCTACCCCCGCCGAGTCAGCTCGATATTGAATGGTCACCGGTACTAAGCAAATCCAACGAGCGAATCTTGAAATTGGGTAATTTGGTTGTTTTATCTTCCGCTGCCTCACACAGTCCGACGTCCAAGAACAGCAGTGGCGAGCTTGAGGCACCCAGAAAGTTCTCCCGTTTCTTCTCGGGAAATACCACAAAGAAACGACAACGGTTGGTGATGGTCACATCATCCGGGCGAGTCATTCTGGCCGCGTCGGGTGGTGATGATAAGAAGATCAAGCTCGAGATTTCCCTGCTTGCTCCGGGGACAAGTTACAGAAGCACGACGGATTCTAAAGGAATTTCATCCTGGATTGTGGACACGGTATGGACTTCATCTTATCAGTTAAAGAACCCATCTAACGAAACCCCACAGAGAGAGAAACATTATGTTTTTGAGGATCCCAAGCCATCATCAAGCAACATCGGCGCCACTGCGGTCCAGGTACAAGAATGGCTGGACGCATTGGATAGGTCCCGGGAGATGGCATCACAGCAACAAAGTGCAGGCTTCTCTGACGATGCATTCCGTGACCTTTCCTCCGGTTTTCCTAGTCCTGCCAACACAATTGACCGCACCTCCGACATGCAAAAAGATGATCGCGGCCCACCATCATCGAGTCGGAATCACCTAGTGAAACAGCAGACCGGTGACACCGAGTCAACGAAAGGAAGGAAACGATTCAGCAAGCGTCATTCGAAGAATGGTCTTGCTGCGGTGTTCTAGTGACATTGAAGCAGCCCTATGCATCTTGCGATCCATCTATACACCCATGCTAAATTGCCTTTTTGGTGTTGTCGGTATCGAACCGACTTTCCTATACTACCTGCTGCCTTACCTCGCACCTCGCCATCTCATCTTTTGGATATGGACCTCCGCGTCCACCCATCTCCCCAGCTCTCTTGTTTCCATTTCCCTTCTATGCACGGGCATTCGCACAACTATGGGATCTCATCCCAGCATAACGGTCATCCTACCTTTTGCATATTCCAGTGACAAGCGTGTTATTCTGTTTGTTTCTGTTCTTGGGGAAACATGTTTCTTGCATTTAGATTTGGAAGGGAGCGCATACTTTGGTCTTTCATTGCCTGACTGCCTATTTCAGAATACCGATTTTCCTTCTTGTCGTTTGCTATGTCGTCCGCTGTTATATATCCCTGATTTTGGCCTGAAGCATCACAACATCGAGACCTTTTTTTCTTCTGTTGGACTCTTTTCACTTTTTTGCTCCCTGATCCTGGTAAGGTGTCAGGTTTTATTGAGGCTGACTTGGTGATTATCTTTGAAAAATATGAATTCAAGGCTGATTCGTCCACATCCTCATTTTCCTCCTCTTTCTCTTATATCTGTTTGTGCTTTTTTTTAGGGGCAAATTCGGACAAAAGAACACTTTCATTGTCATCATCCTTTTCATTGCGTCTATTGTCTTCTTTGACTTCCCTGCTTCCGTACAGTGGACCTTGGTTTGACCTCATCTTCATTGTGATTTTTTTCTACCCGCGGACTCTCTCCAAATTCCATCCTTTGCCTCTCCTAGTATACACTTGACCGTCTCTTTTTGCCTTGCTTTTCTTCCCCTCCCCCCTCCGCTCCAGGCCGAGAGATGATATACCCGATTTTCCTATTCGCAAATCATTATTCAACCGTCTCCCTACAATCGTTATATATCTTGAGATTCATAATGAAATACTGCGTGTCCCAAGCAAAGTGATTCAAACAATGTACTAATTGACTGTTATATATATATATATGTAGGTAGGTAGATACAAGTAGACATTAGTAGTAAAGGTGGGAGACCCGTCCACGGGTGGAAATCCATATATCTCCATTATTTTCCCCAGATTAAATGAACAACCAGTCGAGGCGCGTATGATCCAACTCCTCGATCCAGTCAAACTCAGGATCGTCATCATTACTGTCATAGCCCTGCTCACCGGAAACACTCTGACGCTCACTGCGCTTGAGATCCTGTTTCTGCCACATGAGACGCAGAACCCACGCAGCATTACGAACATTAACACTCGTCAGGGCTTCATAGAGCGAGCCGAGCTTCTCAAGAATAAGACTCCGCTGCGAAGGGCGACATTCCGCGCCAGCGATGAAGGTGGGCCAGATGAGGCATTTGAAGTGGGGGTCCGAATCGGGGATGAGGCAGATTTGCGTGATGAGGTTTGTGGCGATGAGTCTGTGGTCGAGTGGGAGGCGGACGTCTATCCAGGGGGGTGAGAAGCCTTCTCTGGCACGCGAGAGGACGCGGCTTGTGTAGAGGTAGACGGCATCTTGATAGGAGGTTGCAAGTGCGAGACGGTAGGTGAGGTTTGGGACAAAGAAGACATTTTGCATTTTTTGGCTCCAGGCTATTGGGTCAAAGTTGCGGATTCCTTGCAGGAGGCTGGCGAATGAGTCTAGGGTCAGGGGTTGGCCGGGTTGTATTGGGGTTGGCAGCGCTGTTGGTTGGGGAGTTATGGAGGCGACTTCGGAGTCTGGATACCAGAGAGCGTGGATGAAGAAGATTACTTCAAGGAGATAAGCGGGACATCCGACCCACGAATTTTCTTCGAGGCGTTTGAGGATGTCTGGGCCCATAGATGAGTAGAAGGGCTTTGAGAGCGCACCTGGGCGAGCTAGCGTTGATCCCATGATTTCCATTCTGTATGGTCAGCAATGAGTTTTCGTTCTAAGCAGAGGCCCGAATCTTACATTAAACACCCGTCAAGAGCGAAGGCGTCCAGGTCGTCGAGAATTCCTTGTCCCGGACCATTTTCAGGTCGGTCCCTGAGAAGCTTCTTCGCGCCCTCGATATGATAACTCCAGGCCCCGCTGCCGGACTCGAATATATCTAAGAAGGCAAGCAAGACGATCGCAGCTAATGTCCTGCCGTCCTTCTGCATCGCGGGGTTATTGAGATCCATGGATAATTGGCGAAGGGCGCGCTGCTTGTACTCCAAGAAATGATGATATGCCTGGGAAGTGGGTTTTCGAGAACTTGCCGGCGCAACAACATCTTCAATCTCTTCCACTGACATTGATAGATTGCCCGGTGACCATGGTAGGACAGATGAGTCCGATTCTGATACAAGAGAGCAATGAAGAGCTCCAAGAGCAGCGATGCTGCTGGTGAGAACAGGAGAATGGCTGACCAGCGCAGTAAGATCTCGGAAGGGATTTTTGTGTTGGGAGTAAAGGGCAAAGTCGTTAACCATATATTGATTGTCTGACAAGTAATTGTTAGCGGGGTCACGGATAATTCATTTGGGAAGCCTCACAGTGATGTACGTAGTACCTTGAGAACTGGCTGAGATCTTTGAGCAGTGGATCTACCAGTCCCCATGGCGTCGGAGTGTAGTCGGCAGGAAGAGTGCCCCGAGGAACATGAACAACTGCGGTGTCCTGCTCCTCGGCTGAATTGACGCCCAAGGGGCCTAAGGGCGCAATCTCTCCCACAAATGTTGGATTTTCCACCTCAAAAACCCATCCATCGGTCTCCGGACTAGGCTGAGTCCCAGAGCTGTGCGATTCGGCATCAGACGAGGATTCGGCGATAGAGAAAAAGTTGAATCCGCTGCTCATAGGGGTTGAATCGTACGTCCCCGTAGCTGGGTGAGGCTTTGGCTTGCTAGGCGGTATTTCCACATCATCAAAGCTGCGGCCCATCATCTTTCCTCGACTGGCCACTCCACCCTTGACCCAAACAAGCGGTTTCTGGTACCCCAGACATTCTTTCCCCGCATCTCGACACTTCCGACAGGTGGGTTGGCCATTGTCGCATATAATGCGACGTCGTCGGCAGGTATAGCAACCTTTGGTCATTCTCTGTGCGCTAGTAGAGAGAAACGTAGTTTCTTGACTGGATAGCGAAGAACTGAGTCACTTGTGAAGTTTGTTCAGCGCCACTCGCCATCGTCGGTTATGGTCAGGATTCGAAAGCAGGATATTGCCAAAGCCACACGACCATTTCTAGTCGTTTAATACGTGACTCTGTTGAGAAATGTCATAAACCAAGTTGTAAATTCGTCATGCTCCACGATTTCGGGATAATTCAGGAAAGCTTCACTCGCGGGGCCCGCGGGGAGGATGACTAAGAAAATCTTCCGACCATCGAGACCCCCAGGGCTGTCTGTCCAGGATTCTTCCTCAATCTTCAACTTGCTCTTCCATATCAGCATTTGGAAACCCATGGTAGAATATTGAAAGAACTGCAAGATGGTTTTGAATCTCTTGTTCCGAAGTATGGAGGTAAGTGCTGTTGCTATCGCCACTCCGATCTTCACTAACACTGCCCTTAGGTCTGGCTCACCGTTCGAGTACGTCGCCCCAATGATATGCGTTTGCTTGAGCTTGTATTCTAATCCCATCCATACAGCTCCTTCGAAGTCCAATCTTCCATCGTATGGTGGGCCGAGTTCACCAGAAAATTCAACATATCAGGTACGGGGTGCCTCCGGAGGAGCAGGGAGGCACCAAACTCGAGGGACAAGGTATGCTTGGTATCCAGATTTGGAAATACTGTGTCTGACATTTTATGGTTAGATTTCCAGTACAAAAAATTCCTCAGCCATTTCAAGGAAGAGCTGAAGGACCAGATAAAGGGAAACCCGCGGAACAAATTTTAATACCCTAGCGCTTGTTTGATAAGGAAACTGATGATACCCACATTGAATACGAACATATTGTATGCTGTTTTCCCCCTTTTCGCAGATTTGGGCTATTACGTCTTGTTATCATTTTGGCGCTGTGTCGACACCGGGTATACATTGGGATGCACTTTCGCACTCCCTGGGATGCATCCCTTGTCTCTTCCGCAGAGTGAACTTCATTTGAATCATTGACTTGCCCCTTCTACTATTCCCAGCCGTTCATATATGCAGTCAGGCTGGGATCCAATAACTGGAGCATATATATCGAGTTTCGAGTACTCTCAAGAGTGCGCTGCGGGATTGTTACGGGATTCAAATTTGCTACATGTTCAATGAAGACCTGTCGAATTGCCATATTTGCATGTATGTATTGTTGCTAATCATACGCCACTGAATCAACCAGCAAAGCAGATTCTAGCTTGTCCATTTTTCTTTCAGAAAATAATATGGGAAAGATGTATCGCAAGGCTAGATATCCTCTTTTTGACTCTTAGGCTGCTAACAATGAGCTCGAGTTCGTTTCGAAAACCCATCTTCACATTCAGCCTCAAGTTGAGCTCTAACCCGAGCAATATCTCTCTCCGTAAGATTATTAATGGTCTCTATCACATCTGCATGCCCATCTGCACTGCTCGTTTTTGTATAGAATGACAAAGCCTTGGCATATTCCTCCGGTTCATTCACCCTGTATTCCAGTGCATCTACCTTAATAACATCAAGCACGGTCATATTATTTGGATCTTCGGCGATCTCATTCTCCAAATCGCCACTGATATGATAGCGTGCCCACACAGCATCAACGAACCTTCTATCACGTATGGCGTCGACGTATATGCTGGCCCAGGGCTCTATTACCAGCATTCCGGCATTCTTATTGAGAACATCTTGGATAGGGAGATCGAGGAATAGCTGCTCCGCTGGTTTGTTCTCTGGGATAGTTACACCCATGGCCTTGGATTTTATTAGCCTGGGCCATGCAAACAGTGCAAGTCGGAAGTGAAACTGAGGTCAAAATCACTTTTAGCTTTCTTGATTCAAAGGGGTTTAGATGGCATAGGCGAGGTACGGATATAGAGACAGGGCAAGGGGGGTCAATATGGGGAGGTCAAAGAAATCAAGTAAAACCGAACAAGGGTGTAATCCCTTGAGGTTCTCTGTCTATTAGGTCAGCCTGTTTAGGTCCACAGACATGTACCTCCCAAATAGGTAATGTCCACAGGTAATTCCCCGAGTGGCCCTGCGTAGTCTAACACGATGTCTCCAAAGCATTTCCAAGCACTTGAGAATATATAGAAAATATCTACCTCAATTGTTGTGACTGGTGAAACTTTACATTGCTATCGTACGAAAACCGCTACACAGATTATCAACTCGAGTATGAACAGAAAAATTATAATCCCAATGAATTCTATCACTACAAACTATTTTCACTGCCCTAACTTAACTCCCGAATACAATAACAAGCCGATCATGATGAAGCCGAACCCTTCCTCGGTCTTGGGATCACCTTCCGAGGAACTACATCTAATTGTCTTCTCATAACTCGACCTCGAACCATCTCGAGCAATTTCTTCACTCTAGTAAGAACACGTTGAAAGACAATTGCCCTGGCGGGCCTCCAGAATATCTTCAGTGTTTCCCGGGGGTTCGTCCGCATGAACATGACCTCAATCACCTGCAGCTTTTCGTGACTCGGGCTCTGACTCTGATCTGGCTTCTCTTTCTTTTGGATATTGGTGAATGCAACGAACTTGCGTCTACCAACGTGCTCGGTGTCTAGGTATTCCAGCTGGTTTTCGTTGCCGAAGAGCGTCAAGGAGAGCATCTTTCCAATAATCTCCAAATAACCTTCGTTTTCGTACTCATTGGAGGTATTGGAGTTAGAATTCATCATGTTTTTGATGTTCCTGATTGTTATATCAGACAGACTATTTCATGTTAGCATTCGTTGAAAAGTTAGATTGAAGTGCACATCATTTGGAGTGGTACTTACTGGACGACAACATATGTAATATCTAAGAAATTGTAATCCTTGAATTTGTTTTCGTGTTGGACCTCGAGGGCGGGAAGTGAGGCATTGATGACCTCAGGAGAAGAGCGTGTCTCGGCCATATTTTCTTTTGTAAATCTTGAGATGGTGGAATTTGGTTCTCGAAGGGTTGATCGGGTAAATTGAGTCTGTAATGGATTTGTGTTGCGTATGCTAAATTTTGAATATGCTGAGCGCGTTGAATGCTAAATGCTGAATGCTGAATGCTGAATGCTGAACGGAACTGGGTATTATGGAAGTTGTATGCAAGATTGTTGTCGAGGTTAAGTTGAAATGCTAGATAGGACGAAGAACAAGAACACATTTATATTCAGAGACCCTGAGAGGCCAAGGAAAGAACAAAGGAAGAAAGACTATATTTCTAGGGAATTAGATAAAGAAATCAGGCCTTGAAGCACATAAAGCAAGTCTCATTGCATAGCTATTATCGGAGATTTGCCCTTTGTCGCCCTTTGCGAGGGATCAAAGCAAGATCCAATTATAATTCCTCTGCTGAACTTCTATCTATGCAGTGCTGCAGTCCATAAGTAGAGGACCCGCTTCCATCGTCTCATCCCCTTTGTTGTCGATATTTCAAAATAGGAACATGACCGCCCCTCCTCTTGATATGCCAACCGAAGAGATGATTTTCATCTACAATTTTTGATAGGTCCCAGGTATATCGAATCGGCGGTGGCTTTTGCTAATCTTACAGAGGCAACATTGAATATCCGAACAATTTTGAGATTTTTGGAGACCCTCGTCACATCTCGCTAACTAGTACATACGAAATGTGATACCTTATTCCACTATTGAGATTAGAGCTACCTAGACGCGGAGAAAGTATGGGGGATGCGACGGATATAAGGAAAGTGGCCATGCAGGTGAGGCAGGGCACTCGGGTTGTATCGTGGAACAAGGGAAGACTCATCCTATAGGTATCAGGCTTCTGTTGAATAGTAATAAAGAGTAATACTTCATTGAACCAATTTGACTATACTCCGCACATACCTACGCAGTACTCCGTAGACGCGAAACATTAAAATTAACTGGTCAGTTGACACCTTTCAGAAGAGGAATCAATATATTACCGCTCATCTTGGCTATGATAGGAAAGCATCGATGAGAGACCTACAACATATATAGAATGCCTTCCACAGTGTGCATTCCCGAGATCTTCCCGACCTGAACAACATGTAAGCAGACCCTCAAAGGTTCAGAAGAGGCGGTATCCCCCGGAACAGAGGCTGGCTGTCAGTGGCACGCCACATGGACCAAATTGGGGCTAGGGGCAAAAGGAATCCAATTTTTAGGTCAAGTCCGGGTGTGTCGGCTTTATTATGAAACTCAGAGTTGAAAGGGGGGCGGCCAGGTACCCGAGGGATTAATGCTACATGACACAGCATGGAAGTCCCTGCAGACCAGGTGTTTTGTAGGAAGATGTCACCCATTCATTAGGCGACTTGTGGTGACAGCTGGGTAGCATTTATGCAAGATGTCATACGGCGGCTTAATGCCAATGCCAATAATATGGAAGATCAGAGGCAGATCATGGGAGATGTGCTAAATATGGAGCCGGAAGCGAGGGGTACGTCGTCACCCATGTTCAGCCCACATCTTCAGAGTTTGCCTCTTTCACTTCTAGGGTTATATAGGACTCGGTATGTAGGTCATTAACTCAGTTATTAGCTCACTGAATTCTCTATCAGAACCCCCTTTCTATATCTACCATTTCTATTCTACTCCGTACGTTGTAATTATTAATTTTAAAAACTCATCTTAAAATCTAAAAAAAAAACACTTTGTAAGCCCAATCGGGTCCCGAGGTCAAATGTCCAGGTGACCCACTCTAACGTGTTTTCTATTGAACCACTAGCCAATCAGAGTGGCAGTTGCCTCGGCGCGTGGGTTTAATCTGAAACTAGTGGGACCTAATCAGGGTTAGCGCCTTTCAAAGTTCGGGACAAACAACACTGCCCAAGGTTCGCCTTTTCGCTTTGACTCCTTTTTCGTTTTCCCTGCTTATTCTTCTTTATCTCTTGACTCTCAACTCTCGACTCTTGACTTTAAGGTCAAATTCTTTCGTTACTTTGTACTCACATTCGTTATCCTAACCATGCGTCTATCCAACCTCTCGCTTTTCATCCAGGCTCTGCTGGTGACTGCGGTCGCAGCCCAGAGTGCTGGTGTCTCCAACATCGTGACGGATGTAACAACTCAGACCACTTCATCCTCCTCTTCCGAAGCGCCCGAAACTACATCGACGACTTCATCATCATCTTCCACAACCTCTCAAGAGACGTCTACGGAACCCACTACCACTACCCAGCCTACTACCACCACCACGACTTCTTCCACCTCTACCGAGCCTACCACCACTGATTCTACTACCACCGAGGCTACCAGCGCAGCAGAGCCTTCCTCCACACCGGAGGCTACCGTCTCTTCGACCACTTCCAACACTCAGCCCACCGCCGCGTCAAGTGCTGATAGTGACAGCACCACTACATCCCAGAGCACTACTACCACCCAGACCCCGGTCGTGAAGACTATCACCTCCTACATGACCACCGATGGATCCACCATCGCCAACGTGGTGACCACCACGTCCACCCCCGTTTCCCAACCTTCTCTTAGCGGCGACAAGAGCTCCGGCTCTAGCGGTGTGTCTTCTTCGGACAAGAAGATCATCATCGGTGTCGTGGTGGGTGTCGGTGGTGCTATCCTCATCGGTGCTCTGGGCCTGGTCTTCTGGAGAATCCAGAAGAAGCGCAACGAGCAATACGGCGATGAGGACGATCTGATGGGCGGTACTGCTGTGGGCTCCGGTCCTCGCGAGAAGGCCCCCAGCCCATCTGGCAACACCCCCTTCAAGAACACACTAGACCAATACCACAACCCTGGTCCTGTCAACGCGGCATCTAACTTCTAAGCGTGCTGCCTTGACTCGACACTCGTCGAAGTGTAAATCTTGTACGATCTTCATGCTTTTCTCAGGCGCTATGGACAGGGTATGCGAACTCACGGTTGCGTTTTTCTTCGGTTGCAAAATTGCTTTTTTCTTTTCGGGCGTTTTCACACCCAATCTTTCCGTTCATTATAGATTGAATATCTGTGCATTCATTTGAGCGTTTTTTTTTACTTCGGCAACCACCACATTCCTTTTTTTCGTGATCGCGACTCTCGATCCCTGCGCGACTGACAAAAATACGGCACTACCTTTCCACCATGCCTGTTATCTACCTTTTGATTCCCCGTTATCTATGTGCTTAGTGTTCGCCTGTGGCGAACTCCATTGTGTCTTGATCAATATTCTATTCTTTTACCTTTTGCAGCATCAGACGTCACAGATTGTATAGTGTTGATAGATGCGTGCTGCAGAGGTACCTTTTATCTTGATCCGTTCTGATCTGTATGTATGTAATTCAAGGCAAATGAATCCAATCAGTGAAACCATCCATACTATTATACCTATGTACTTGATTTCCCTTGCTCTTGAGCATCCACAAGAAGCAACACGCTAGCCCTCCACTTTTAGATGACATGCTTCTAGAAAGAGCCACAGCTCTTTATCGTCTCTTCGTCCCTAGTCTTGGCCACCAGAACATGCGAGTCATGCATTATCTCGCTGCTCTACAAGCCAATGAATGACAGTGAACCATTGACATCGCACTAGAGTGCCCCTGAGGCTACAGCACTCTCAGTGCTCTGCACAAGGTATGACCTACACACTATCCCTGGCCCCGTCACTTCAAACCACGGAGCACACACTAGTATCACGAAACCAATAGACGACACAGGCAGTCAAACACTTAAGGACTGTAGAAATAGCACTAAGTTCCCTGTATCCGTACTGACGTGGCATACTAACTAAGCAATTTTGAACCTATGGTGCATAGCAACGTAGAAAACTTCCCCTCTATTTGAGGCCCTCTTAAATTGCCTAGTATGACTTCTATCATACTGGTCTCACCCAACCGAAATTTGCCGAAATTTCGCGCCGAGTCATTCAGTACTCCGTCCAGTGCGGCTATTATTCGTGTAAGTTGTGTGACAACCGATCAACAAATTCCGACTTGCTCCGATTGGCCAGCTCATCTGCTTCTCTGGCTGCGGTATTGCGCTGGATGCTTTCGCGTAGGTTTGAAATCATTTTGTTGATCTTTTGCTTGAGCCCATCCGTCTCTCCAGATGCACTGACTGATTAACTTGCTGAAATCCCCATCCGTGGCTGCATTGGTAATTTCTCCGAATGGCGAACCTGAGAAGTAAGATTATCGGCCATCGTGTTCACATTCTCAGTGATCTCTTCCCATCGGCACACTTAGGAAGAACGAGAAAGCTGCTTTCATCATCTCAAGTTGAACCTACCAATCCACCCTTCCAAAAGCATGTACGAGGGGCGGGCACGAGAGACGAGATCTACTATACCATAGTGACTTTTACATATGGTCTTTGATAGAAACTTATATTGAATATTATAAAATGGGTTGGTTACCCGTGACATTGGCGAGTTTCCACACCCATGGCTTCGGAACAGCACAGGTTATGATATGCAGTATATGGGATATAAGGAGTGATCAAACATTCAGCTCCAAAAAATAGACATCCGAGCCTGGCTGCCTTCTTAATCCTTGTGTTTGTATATAGCATACCTAACGTGAAGAATTTAGATCAAAGATTCAATCCGGCAGGAGAAAAGCAAGGTGTTTACCAAAGAACGAAAGGTGCTTCGCTAACTGTGTCTCATTTTTTCGACACAGTCGTGTTGGTCGATACAGGCTCGTCTACCAACAACCCCTTTTCCACTGCACACCGGTGGCAGTACAATTTCGGCCCCGGGTAAGATTTACAAGGCTTGATCTTGTTGCACGGGCCATTGCATCTCACACTGAACTCGCTCGATGTACTGGAGCATATAATCAGTATATGACACATGCTAAAGAAGGGATGAAAAGTTCAACATACTCGGTTGTCATTTTGATATTGGCAGATGAGGTCGGCGTCTTGATCTTCAAAGGTCTGTGATACTTTTTTGTATTTCGAAAGATGTAGAGCAAAACCCCAGGAGAAATTGGAGGCTTTATAAGATAATCTTTGCTTGCTCCTTTCCCTCTCAGCCTCCCTCAGCTCTCAAACCCCTCTTTTGTAGCTGAACCCCGGAAAGGTGCTCATAGAGCAGGTGATATCGAGATACATATGCATAAGGAAACTAAACTGCTTCTGGTGTGTAGTCCCGAGAATACGGCATCTTGTCGCTGACCACGTGGCTGTGTGGAAACACGACAGCATTGTTTGATATATGTACAGTATGTCGAGTCTTGGCCTTTCCATCACTGAGGAATCACCTCTACTTGCACACTATAAGATCTATTTGTTGGAAATGATTTTCCGTGATTGGTATTATGAGTTATGAGCCCGAAATCCAGAAATCTGTGTCCTTGTGTGCCCCAGTGCGTGGGTGTACATGGACCCCTACTTCCCTCGCACGCAACAGCTTCACTTTTCTTTTTCTTCTCAACCCCGCCCGCAACTCACACATAAGGCAAACATTGCTGCACCTAACCTGGAAAGCTATGTCATGTATTCTGCCGCTCCCTGTTCCTCGTGGGACTCGCCGACTTCTGCGGCACTGCCACTGCCATCATCCCTCCCCCATAAGTCGACAACTAAAAGGCAAAACACGTTATTGAAAGTTCCGTTGCACGATGTGCAAGGCTATGAGCAGATCCACGCTTTGCTCGAGCAATGTTGAGATTCCCCAGTGAAGTGAAGGGTAAACCCAGGGTCTCCGCAGTTGTCGCGCCAACCGAGTTAGCCGCAGGTGCCGCATTCTTCTGAGGACTATTTTATAAGCAAATTTGCTAGAAGCGAAGGGGTAATAGAAGACAGTTGTCATATATCTTTATTAGCTGGGTAGAACCACAATTCAATACGGGATTTATGCCTGAGGCACCAACATCAACCTTGACCCTAACTATACTGCATCTCTCTCTCTCTCTCTCTCTCTCTCTTCCTTCTTTAGCTTTAGTGTTTTCGGTGTTAAGGACCATAGAGAAGAGGACTCTTATTTTGCCAGTGTCACAACAGGATCTCAAACCTTTATTTTAGGTATCATAAAATACTCCGCTAACAGCTAACCCTAGTTGTAAGTTCAATCCTGCCTTTCATAGTTGCACGAAGTAGATTAACTAGCCAGTCACATATATCCCAATTACGGTCTATATTGTGCTAGCTACCACACTCCTTATCTTTGGCCTCGTGGGTTTCGGATTGTCTCGCTAAGCGGCTTATAAAAGCTCTTCGCATCTAGTCCTTGACCTTGTAGTGTCTAGGCCAAAAAACGTTCTACTAGTAGTTTATACGGCACTAAGATGGGCAGGGATAAATGAGACTACTAGAATAGTGATACTTAGGATGGTCAGCGTGTTTCCAGTCTTGCTCGTGGTACGTACTAGACACAAGGCTATCTTATAGTCTCTACGCTGACCACTAAACATCAGTCTCTACGAATAAGCATCCTACTGCGAATACTCATCAATACACCAGCCTAACTAATGATCTATTTTTCATTGTTTTCCTTTTCCTCCTGTTTGATCAAGCCCACCGCTATATAGGTACAGTATGTCGAGTCTTGGACTTTCCATCACTTGGGAATCACCTCTACTTTGAGCGAAATAACTCAATCTTTTAGGAGCTAAATGTGCCCAGATTTATTCAGGCAACGCTTTACCGCCAGTGGCCATTGGCGATACTGTGCGGAGTGTTTTGAAATTTAGTAGTTCGCAGTAGTTCGCAGAATTTAGTGCCCCGAAGTTGATCCGGGTACCCAAAGCCGCCAATTTACTGCGTAGACTTTGACTTTAACAATCACTCCATTTGTGTTGAAAATTGTGTGTACGGCTGAATCTAAAACGTGATTGCTTCCTCCTTTTGAAGGTTCGATCGATCGGGATCTTCCGCTTCAAGGCCCGCGGCCACCTCGAACCCTGGAACCCTTGCCAATGCCAATGGATGCCAGGAGGCAATCCGCACTCCACACTACTCGGTAGCCCTGGAGCCGGTTCATGGTCAGGAGTCTACAGATTTACCTTTGCACGTGAGATCCGGCTCATTTGTGTGTGCTTTACCTATTTCATTTATAGCTCCCAATCAGTTTCCTCCGCTTTTGCCACGCCCATACGTTGGCTTAGGGTCACCCAAGAACCACAATAAAGTAAGAATCGGAATGCTCTCAGGTCTGCTGTCTCGCCCCAGGCATTCTCCATTGCTTTCTGAATCGCCTCCGTGGTCAACAAAGCCCAGCCCGTCGACAGCTTCTTGTGTCAATAACCCCTTGAATTTGCGGTGCAATGGTCCATCCTTGGGCCATTGAGTGGGCGCAAGGAAAGGGTGCTTCTTCTGTTTGTACAGCTCGTCTGTAATATAAAGACGCACCGCCTGACGCAGGATCCATTCTTCATTGATTGACTACAAGGCTTGGCTGGATTTGGTCCAGATAGGAGATAATTCACCACAGCTGCTTGCGTTTTCGGCCGAGTAGTGCAGTTTAACGCTGAGCGGTAATCGAAATTCGCATGTCGGCTTTGGAGCCAGGGGGCGAAAAGAGAGGCAGTCGGATGCTATGCCAGCAGAGTATCACACGTGTCGAATGCTCCCGGTCCCGCGCTTGATTGAGGAGCTGGGACATTGTCCAAGACTGTTCCACCTACTCTTTCCCAAATCCCTTTCATCTCTTGCTGTGCAGATTTGAACAGGTTTTCTCTAAGCTCTCCGTTTTTGGTCAACTCAGAGTCGGGGGAAGCTCCGTCAGCCTCGCGAAGGAATTCGACATGGAAGCAAGGGTAGCCAGCAAAATGTTCGTCAGACCCTTCACCGGTCAGGACGACATTGATTCCAAGTTCTTGTGGGAGAGTTGAGGGCGCGAATTTGGCCACAGAATTGAGATCGTAGTGATGATGCTCGCAGTGGAACACGGCGTCTTCAAAGTCTTCAGCCAATGTATCTTCCGTGATGATCTTCTTGATGGTCTTTACTCTAAGCCACTCCGCTGTGCGCTCGGCAACATCTTTTGTGTGTTAGTTCCGCATGATATATTTGGTGAGAACACTGGTCTGCAGCCCTCAAGACTTACGTGATTCATCATACCCAGATGTCTCCAAAAACGCCACACTGAAGCAGGTGACGCGAGAAGTCTCTTCATTTCCAAGCTTAACATGTTCTTTGCGTGAAATCTCAGTGACCATACCACCAATAGCAGAGGAGTCGATGCCACCAGAGAGGTAAACCCCAATAGGGACGCACAAATTGTCAAATAGGGGAAATCTGCCATTTCAGTCAGTTAGAGTCATACACATCTGTCATTTATACCATACCATGCTGAGATTTCTGTCAAAAAAACACTACGTAGAAGTACCTAGGTAGGAATATTTGTATGGTTTGGTGCTTATTGGGACCTATTAGGCATTCAAAGCCCAGTCGGTTGGGGCGGGCTAGGCTTTGGGCTTTGTGGGCTTTGTGGGCTTTGCGGAGGTTTAACTCGACGGCAGCTTCATATTAAAACTTGGTCTTGACCATTTTGCCTCAGATTGGGACGGCCAAGATCTTTTCAATCTATTTTCATTTTGGTCAAATCGGATTCCAAGCTCAAAGATGACATCTAATGGCCGACGACCCCCACACGGGCCGTTTCTCCACTCTGGCAGCCACCAGAAATGGGAAATCGATTCTTACAACGTAGATTAACGGGCTTAGACTCCTACATGTTAGTATACATTAGCGTAGCCCGGGGGATTGAAAGCCACCACTGAACGATAAGTGCAAGCGGCCTGATCACACGATGGATGCACCATACACGCCTTTTGACGCATGAAGCAGACACGTTCGCTGGAGGGACACCGTACTTAATTAGCCTGCTCGTTCTGCTCGCCGCCGTCTCTAGATACAGTCGTAGTCACAGTCGCATTCCTCCGCCTCGTCTCTGCAATTGTAGCAAAATGCCCGGCTTTGCGACCTATCTACTCGGCGCTCTTAGCGCCATCGTAATCGCCCGACTGATCCTCTCAATCGTCAAACGCCCCTCACTGCCCCTACCGCCAGGACCCAAGCCCGTGCCTCTAATCGGAAATATTCACCAGCTGCCCAAGAGCCTCCAGTGGCTGGAGCTCTACCACTGGAGCAAGAAGTATGGCCCGGTCATGCACCTCAGTATGGGCGGGCAGCCGCTCATCATCCTCTCCAGCCACCAGGCCGCACACGATCTCCTCAACCGCCGCAGCTCGCGATACTCGGATCGCCCGCGTATGGTCATGGCCGGCGAGCTGGTCACTAAGGGCATGCACATGCTCCTCCGACCATACAACGACCAGTACAGGCTACACCAGAAGATGGAGGCCCCGCTCATAAACCTGCGCTCTGCGAGCAACTACCGCCCGCTACAGGACCTCGAGTCGCAGCAGCTGCTATGGGACGTGCTAGGCGAGTGGGACGAGTTTGGCGAGAAGGGCGTAGACTTTCACCACCACTTCGAGCGCGCAATGGCCAGCACCATCTACTGGCTGAACTATGGCTACCGGCTGCAAACGGGATATGAGAAGGAGCTGATAGATGGGAAGCGCGTGCAGGCGGAGTTTGCGCGCACCGGGCAGGTGGGTGCTTACATTGTCGACTTATTCCCGTCGCTGAATTACCTGCCCAAGTTTCTGGCGCCGTGGAAGAAGGAGGGCGAGGAGCTATTTGAGCTGGAGCGCCAGCTGCATGTTGGGAACTTGAGGAAGGGGCTGAGTGGCGGAAAGTGGAACTTTGCGAAGCATATGAAGGACTCGCCGGAGGCTGCGGGAATGCCGGAGGTTGAGCTCGCGTTTGATCTTGGGGTTATTGCTGATGCTGGTTTGGATACTTCGACTGTTGCGCTGGACTGGTTTATCGTTGCTTGGATTACGTCGGGCTCGCGTGGCTGGGTGAAGAAGGCGCAGCAGCTGCTGGACCAGGTCGTCGGCAAGGACCGCCTGCCTAGCTTTGAAGACTACCCTAAGCTGGCCTATATCGACGCTATTGGTGAGTTTCACTTGTTATGATTCGAATAATGGGCAAGGTCTGACATAAAATGGCACAGTGAGCGAGACCCTCCGCTGGCGCCCCGTCGTCGTCCAGGGCGTGCCACACTTCACCAAGGTCGAGGACGAGTACATGGGCTACCACATCCCAGCCAACTCAACTGTCCTCCCCAACGCATTCGCCATCACTCGCGATGAGACCGTCTTCGGCGAGGACGTCGACAACTTCATCCCGGAGCGGTGGCTCGCCGAGGAATCCGACAAGGAGCACATAGACGTATGCGGCTTCAACACACCCGCCCTCAAGGACCTACCGCAGACGGGCTTCGGGTTCGGGCGCAGAATCTGTAAGGGCCGTCTCATCGCGCGCAACCAGCTGTTCATCCAAATGGCACGCATGCTGTGGTCCTTTGATGTCGAGGCTGGCGTTGTGGACGAGGCCACAGGCGCGAGACACAAAGTCCATGATATGGACTGCACGGAGGGCTTTGTCACCCTGCCCAAGCCGTTTAGGTCTGTGATGCGTCCGAGGGGGCAGTGGGTGCGTGATGCGATCTTGAAGGCGGGCACCACGCACCACCTGGATCACTCGGCCATTTTGGAGGCGGCAAAGATTGAATAGTCCTGAGAATCTTTTTTCCCTTTTGGTGGTTTGGTGGTGTGCTTTCATAGAGCGGGTTAAGACAATAAGTTAAGCTGATGGTTCTCTCTCGAGTTTGCTCATGCTATATACCAGAGCTGAGCGCCCTAGGCCAACAACCACCAATTCAAGTGACCGTGGGGGCCGACTTATAAGCATGGTATGAATGCAGGCCTACGTCATTTGTAATTTTATGATAATGGTAACACAAGTTTAGCTTGTTGGAACAGAAGTTGGCCGATCCCAACACCCTACAAAGCGAACACAACAGTCTTTTGAGGCAATGAACATTTCGTTTGCTGGCCCTATCGACTAAGGAAGGGTTTGGACCATGAAGAAAAACCAGTGGGAGCTTCCCATTGAGTGTAAGCGTCGACTATTTACGTAATATGAAAGCATCCATCCATACATGGATCAACTAGGCACACTCTGTGGATAGCATGATTCTACGGGGCCTATAGGACTCCCTTCCCATGCACTCAACCCTGTCCTGATGCGTTTCAAATAATTGTCGAGAGCCTAAAGAGTAAATACCAAGAGATGGCACCCGCTGCCAAGAGAATCCGCTGCAACAGTAATATGAGAATGGCCTCTTAGAATCATCGCCCCCTACTAGCCAAGCAAGAAAACTACAAGTTAGCCTCTCAGAAGAAGAGCCCCCAACCAGCTAAGCAGGTGGATTATAGGTTGGAGACTCCTGTAGGAAAAGCCCCCAATCAGACAAGCGAGGTCCTGACTCCTAGCAAGTAATCTGCGATACCCCCAATCAGCCGAGGCGAACTATGTATCCTTTGAAACCGCCCCTAAACGACGGATACGATGGCCCCAATCGGCCGGGCGTGCGGACTATTACAAGTGATGTCATCGAGATGCCCAGCTGTGGACTTGTGCTCACTTTGTAAGGGCATAAGTTGACATAAAGAAAACGTGCAACGAAGCCCTCAACTGGCGTGGATACAGAAAGTTCTCTAATATCAGACCGGTTGCCCCCACGTCGTTAAATGATATCGAGCTCAATTTAACTTATCAGAAACAATGATTCAACTCAAACCATCCACGTTCACCCTTGTCCTGTCTCTATTCCTTTCTTCCACCCTAGCAAAGGATGGAGAACTCTCCTCCAGCCTTGTAGGCTGCAATGAGGTCTCATGTCCAAAGAAAGGTTCCGATGACCGCTGCACAGTGGAAGAGAATACCTTCCTTGGCATCGGACTATCCCGCATCCCAGACGTTCCCTCGTCTCTTGAGGGGTTCTCCCTCGTGAAGGGTGTAAATGTGTCTGCTGCACTGGCCGGGAAGGAAAACGACCAGGCCACACGCCCTTTCAAGTCGTTTTATTACCTCGGTACACCCTCGGATGTAGAAACCAAGGACTTGTCCGGCTGTGTTGTCGTCTTCCACGATGCCCCATCTAAGAAATTCGACGGGCCGGAACTGGAAGGCAATCACAATGGCACTGATATCCGCGCCGCGAGCGGTACTTGTTCTGATGTCATTGACAAGACATGCATCGAAAAGCTTACGGAGAAGGCATCAAAATTAGGCGAAGAGACTAATGGAAATGTCTGCACGGCGCTTGAGCGAGAGCTGAAGGAGACTTCTCTTGATGAATGTGATGGCTTTGCGGGTAAAGGTAGCAACCTTGGAAATTTCACTGTCAAGTCGCTCGATGATTTCAATGCGGTTAAGAATTCCTCGGATTGTTGGCCTATTCAGCCCAAGTCTGATCAGCTCGTAGAGATTGCGAGTATCACTACTCTGGTAAGTGGAGTTAAATTCACGTCTAATCTGCGCAGTCGTTAACATATACTCTGCAGAAAAACTACTCAGCACAGGCTCTTCTTGAGGAGGTCTATAAGATTACACCGGTTCTCACTGTCTTCGCTAGGAATGGCAACAGCAGTCTTGTCAACCAAACCGCTTCTCAGTTGACATGTTCAAAAGTCGTCACTGAAGAGGATGCTAGTGATGACAAGGATAGTAGTGAGAATACTGCGGTGGCTATCAAGGCAAGCGGGTTTGCTGCTAGCATTGCCGTACTAACTGGGGTCTTTGCATTGCTGTAGATATTGGATGACCTGTTTAAAATAGGCAAATTGAAGAGAATATTAAGGGATGTTACTGACTGGATGTCGGAATATCAATGTTCTAAATAAAATGATGATAGACTACGAAGTACTACAACATAGTTACTTATAATGCAAGGGGGTAGAACGCGCTAAATTAGCGCGACTGTCTTAACAGGGAGTTTATCTCTCCATCAGACCTCTACAGAGTAAACTATTTACCTTATTCACTTTCAATCATTACTCTCAATCAATACAATATACCCACATAATAACCCTGAAGAAATCACACTAAACACCAAACTTGGAACAAGACCAACTGACGCAACCGACTTCCGCATCCGAACCACGGATACGCCAGACCCAACTCCATCAACTCCATAACCATCCACATCTTCACAATGTTCGCAACACAATCCCCCCAAACTCCCTTCCGCCAAACCCACTACACCCCAATCCATTCCTCCCCACTCAGCAAACACAACACGACTCCACCCACATGGACCATGTCCCCGACGCGTAGCATGCAAAGCGCGTCGCAAAGCACAGCACCAAACCCATTCAGCAATGCACCACCAATCTTCAACATCCAAACCGAGCCAATAACCCGACACATGCAAAACCACCACTCTCCGATCCCAATGAACTTCCACGCGTCCGCATCCGCCTCAACAACACCAACCTCCACAAACCCATTCCTCACCCACACGCAAACACCCGCCTCGCCCTCTTCGCCCACTCGCCAAAAACCCAAATACGAAGCACGCTACGCTTCGATTATCGCGAACCCGCTCCAGGGCGCGGCAGGTCTGGCGCGCTCGAAAACGCGTAAGATGTTCCTTAATCGCGTGCGTCATGAGCGTGACGATGGGCGCTTTGAGGCGCGCGGCGAGCAGATGATGCGGATGGAACATCTTGCTGATCGGAGACGGTGGGAGGAGAGTATGGCACGGGATGGGGAGGGGGTTGTTGGGGGTCTTGAGGGGGATGAGGATGATATGCTTCCTGGTATGTTTGTTTCTGGTTTAATTGGTGGATATGTGTGTGGATGGGATATTGGATGGACATGGATTGCTGACTTTGGGGGCCTGGTAGATGATGTCGATGCACTTGATGAGTTTATATCTCAGGAGGAGGCTATGGAGATGGCTCTTATGGAGACGCAAACTGGACTTCCCGCCAGGGTTTGGGATTTACGGTCCAATGGGCCCGGGGTTCTCTTCAGTGATGATGAGTATGATGACATCTTTATGGGATTGTCAGAGCCTCGGGGAGATCAGTGTCAGTCTCAGTCTCAGGATATGGATATGTCGTGAGCGGGCTAGGGCTGTGGGTTAAGTTTTGAGTGTTGATTATCATTTCCGAGGCATTGCATTGGGTGGCGTTTTTTGTTTCATTTGGGCTAGGCGAGATGGGAATCCGGGTATGTATATAAAGTAAATAAGGGTATATCGACGTGGGTCGCGCATATGTACAATACAGAGACGGACGATGTATGGGTAACAAGGGAAACAAGCAAGCCTCGGCATCAAGGCGACATCTTCCTTTCAAACTTCAAAATCATACATCTTCAAGGTCATATCACTGCTGCGGGCAATCAGGCACTCCGCCAGCTCCAACCGCACCTCCCAGGTCCTCCATGAGGGGATTCGAAACAAGTTCCTCAGGCGGGCTTCCAGCCGCTTGCATCTAGAGACACAGTCAGTAAACGAACATCGAAACAAAGATCTCTTGATCTAATTGTAGAAGTATGGAAGTAACAACTCACCTCCTGCATCCTCTCCCACACATATTCTCGACACTTGGGATCATCATCCGAGAAATTCTTCTCCTCGAACTTGCTCACAATCTGCTTCACAACCCGCGCCTGGGTCTCAAACCGCTCCATATCCTCAGCAGAAACCTTGCCACTGCCCTTATTCTTCTCAATCCACGGCCCGAATTTGACATCCAATTCCTTCATCGGCTCGTACAGCATCTCCTTATTAGACAGCTGCTCCATCATACCCATGAACATCTTCGACAGATCTCCGTCTTCGCCAGCACCCGATGCCCCCGCCTCAACAGCCTTGAGCAGCTGCGCCAGCATATCCTCGGAGATGTCATCTTCATTACTTGCCGCTGCGGTAGCTTTATCACCGCTTTCTTTCATGCGGCCCATTGTGCGCTTGATGGCGTCGTTGAACGAGTCGGCGGGTTGTTCTATGCCTGCGTTTGTAGCGGGCGTACTAGAGGAACCCTGAGCGCTGGGAGTAGCGATGCCAGCCGCGGCTGCGGCTGCAGCGAGGTTCTCTGCTGAAGCTCCGGCTCCAGAACCACCCTCTTCGGCCATCACGTCGGCGAGGAGCTGTTTGAGGAAATCACCTGGTGGGATCCCGCTCTCTTCGAGCTGTTTTGCGAAAACGTCGGCGCCTTGGTCGACCGTTGCTTGGAAGTTGGGGTCTAAGCTGCTACCGGCGCCTCCGCCTGGCCCCATCATGTTCGCCATGTCTTGTTCGAGTTGCTTGAGGAAGGCATCTTCGTCGAAGTCTGGGGGTGCGATTCCTGTTGAGGGATCCGGGTTGGTGGTGGCAGGGAGTGCGGGTGGATTTATAGGAGGGGCGGGTTTGGGTTTGTTGAAGTCGTCGAGGACGTCTGTAGGTGTGAGTGTCTGTGTATCATTCCGCGGGGGTGTGAGGGGAGGGGGGAGAGGGAGGGGTAAGGAAGAGAGGCGGGTATGTGTTACCATCTAGCTCATCGAAGTCTGAATCTTCATCGTCGTCATCTACAGCTACTTTCTGCGATTGCGCTGGGATCGGGGTCGGGGCTGGGGCTGGTGTTGGTGCTGGTGCAGTGTTGGTGCTTGGCGCGGGCTGAGATTCTTGTGTAGTTGCGGTCACGGTGGGAGCCTCTTCGTGGCGGTCCTCGGTAGGCAAGGGGGTAGACATATTGCGCGAGCAGAACAAGCAAGTCTGATTCTCAATTGAAAATACGGCCCAGAGTGAAGCTTAATTTTTTTTCGAGGTAAAAAGAAAGTCTGGAGATGAGGTGGCATGTGACGGGTGTTTTGGCGGGGGAAATGCCGATCGCCGAGGGTTTACATTTTGCCTAGGTATTAGGTCGTGTGGATTATAATATGTGGAATATGTGGTAGGATTATATTGTATGATAATTTATACAAGATAGAAATGAAGATATTGCCATTTCAAGTAAAAGACAAGCCCTGGAGGGTATACAATTTGCCTCCAGTGCACGGTCTTTAAAATCGAGATCGAGTTGGCTGATGTGCCCTGTTTACGTCGGGGTTACTCCGTACGGAGTACAAAGTACCGACATCTCCTGATGAGATCCTGCAATATCAGATCTAACTCCAACTCGTTCACCGGCAAACAATTTACTCCGCACATCTTCCTACAACATACATATGTTGTATTATGTTGTACAATACAGCCATGAGATCATAAGTCCAGACCAGATGAAGTGTGATCATCAAATCCTTGGCATAATACCCCCCGCATAATCTCAACCAGGCTGTTCCATGCGGAAAAAAAATCTGCAATGCATTCCTTGTAAGTCCGGGGAAGGGGCGTCATCCCACGATGATCCTTCCGGTGTCTCCAAGGGGAACCAGTCGAGGGTGGCGCGTGATTCGCTTCGATGTGCCCCAATGGGTCAGGGCGATGGGGTCATGTGGTAACAGAATATGGCGGAGGGCGCCGAAGATCCAATGAAAGGTACAGGTAAGTACGGAGTACATCGCCTTGGACGCCCTAGAGGTACATGGGTATGGGCAAAAATGGGATGATCTATTATGTGTCCGGTATCGGCTAGACGGCTTTGCGCATGACATCCACGTTCTAGGTTCTCCGCGGACAACTTTTCAGCTTTGCATGGAAGTTGAGTGACATACGGAGTACTTGGATGCAGTTTCTAAATACTACAACATACAAGGGGTATATCAATCTACAACACAGGTAAGTACCTTGTAAGGTTGGAACTGAAACACGAATCCCCACAAGCGCTTTGTGCCCAGGTGGATTCCAGAAAGAGGAATAAGGCCATTCAAACTAAAAACGTGGAACCCGTCGAACCCAAACGAGTTAGAGAAAAGAGAAAAAAGAGAAAAAGGGAAAAAAAAAAAAGTCAAAGAGTTCAAAGGGCAGGTACGCGAGAGCCCCTCCTGACCGGACAGACTTTTTTTTTTCTACTTTTTTTTTTAGTCAATTGATTTACACGTTATTTTTTTTGGTTTTCTCTTTTATCTCAATTCCTCTGACTCTTTCTTTCTCATAATTCGCTTTTCTTTTATGTCACAACTTGAACTTCCTCTATCTCGCACGTCCCTTCTGACTTAGCCGCGCGTGTGTGGTTGCTTTTCCCCCTTTATCCTTTTTATCCTTTTATTCTTTTATTCTTTTTTTTTTTCTTGTCTTTTTTTTTTGCCGGCCAGCAGGTCCGGCAACGCGGGGAAAACTGGCTGTGTCTGTTCCGTGTGCGGAGGGCCGCCTACAGGCTTGAATTTAGATTATATAATGGTCTCGATGGTTGACCATAGTGATATGGTCATGGACTCAATCGTGCCTAAACATGAACCTGGTCCTGATGGTTCCATCAGTTCGGCCGTCTCAACACCAGATCCAGAAGCCGAACCTTTGACTCAAGACGCCGCGCAGACTCAGAAGAGGAAGGGAGGCAGGAAACCTGTACGTAACATCTTTTCAAATCTGGGGCCCCGCATTCCTCTGTGTTACTGTCCTATATCCTTATCTTTCCAACGTTGCATTCAATGTTGTATACTAACCCGTTCAGATATATGCCACCTCGGAAGAGCGAAAGCAGCGCAACCGGCAGGCCCAGGCGGCCTTCCGAGAACGCAGGACCGAGTATATCCGTCAGCTAGAGACCACCATCAAACGCAATGAGGAATCTCTACAGAGTCTACAACAGAGTCATCGCAGCGCCGCCGATGAATGTCTCATGCTGCGGTATAAAAATTCCCTGCTGGAGCGGATCCTCCTTGAAAAAGGTACCATCCCTACCCAAACCTCTGGTCCAATTCTCAACTAACCCCGCCAACCCTTCCAGGCATCGATGTACAGGCCGAACTACGCCTGAAAACAGGGGCGCCGGGCGCTCCTCCCAAGGCAGCCCCTATGCCCCCAAAGGCAGCGCCTAGCGCGGTAGGGGCCCGCCCGAACCAGCGACACCCCGCAGGCATCGCCTCGAAGCCCGAGACGTTCGGCATGTCGCAACGGGAAGGCGCATACGGCATCCCGTCGCCACAGTTCCAAGCAACCCCGACCTCCCACGTTTCCTCACCCTCGCACGCCAAGTCTCCCGGCTTCGGCTTCCAGGGCGCCATGTCACCAGTGGAGGGACGGCCCCAGCTCCTTCCCCAACCCCGAACTTTCAGTCAGACTTCGCCGCCGGCAATCAGCATGCCGCAGACCGACTCGTCAGACGCCAAACCCCAATCCCGTGGTGCGGGAGCTATGGGTCCGCGCGGTGCGCGGGTCGCAGCGGCTGCTTATTATCCCTCTCCATTCCAGAAACACTACGATCAGCTCGGTAAGCGTGTCTTGATAGCTTCCATTACAAGTTCTTCCCCAGCTGACCCCTCAAGCAGAACAAGAGTACGATGCCCAGGCCGATATGGTTGACGACGATCACGATGGCTCAGCACAATATGTCCCTGGATTCACTCCGCAGTCCGTCACCTCGGGCTCCCACAATATGTCCGGTTTCAACCAACCATCGGGCGAGGGCACGCCCAACGATTTCGGCAATGCAAACCAGTTGCTCGGCCAGTATGAGCCAATGCTGGACACAGATCCATTCGGGTTAAGCGCTAGCATGCACTTCCCCACACCGTTCAACTACGAGCACAATAACTCGAGGCAATGAACGGCTTTTTAAAATTTGTCCCCTGCATTATTTTTCTTTCTTTCTTATTCTCTTGTTTTATATTCATATATCTGTCCATCTTATGTGGCAAATGGTCATCTCTTCCCAAAAGTTTGATTTGAGCATTCTCCGGCGTTGCGAGGGTTTTGATACCAATGTTCTCTTCTGGTTTTCTTCAGAGGTATATTATATTACATTTTGTATATGAATCGAATCTTCTCATCACAACCATCAACAAAATTCAACCTGCATTTGCATACTTTCGAGATACTCAACTCCCGATTCCACCTTAGAATCAATGATAATCAAGTCTTATACACGTACACATATTCCCCAGCCTATGAAGCTCACAATATCATCCGTCATCTCCTCCGCTTTACAAGCTCGTGGCACAATGAAGACTCTACTCATCCGCTAGAATGGGGAAGATAATATCTAGGCAGATGGAGTTAGTTGCATTCAGATCGAGATTCGGGTTCAAATTGAGATTATAATTATGATCACGGAGTAGTACTTCCGTGTTCACTATTGCATATGATAGACCATGAGTCTTATGCGCTTGGTGCTTCCGTTGATGCTACAATGATGGTAGTCGTCAGTGTACTAATTAGTAGTGTGCGGGTTCAAAACCGGCGTAGTCGAGTCAGAAAGAACTATGGCCTTGACTAGGTAGTATTGTTATGGAATTGCCTTCGATATCGGTGTTGTGTTGAAGATTATGTGGTGCCTCGTTTTGCCTGAGGTTCCCCATGCTACGTTTGCCGTACTTGGCAACACTGAACTGCACGAATTTCTGATAATGTGGCTAGATCTCATCGCACTTCGCTGAATGTCACCAAGAGTTCCCGCAAAACGAACACGAGAACTTACAATTACGACAGCCACATCTTCTTTCATTATGTGCCCTGCGCTTGCGGGAGGAGTGTTTGCCCGAGGATGGTTCGCGTAGCGCCATTCTTACGTTTACGTCAGATATTACGTAGGCTGCAACCTAACATATTCGACGTGGAGGAACGGGTTAATTCGTGCCCGGTTTGTCTATACTGTTGATGTGCTTAACTCCGAAAGCCGACGTGGGGATCTCATTGGCTTGGAGATAACCCGTCGTATTTCACCTCGGACATTATTCAATGATTTTGCTACTTATATGCGAGGTGAAGGGATAGCTAGCATGGGTTGTAACATGGGATTTAAGACTAATATGGAGTTAAAGTGTTATGTCCGGGTTGCTCATAGTTGTTTAGTTCCGTGATGGGTTCAATCTATAAAGGATGGCGACCTCGCTTTCTATGGATTTCGCCGTATTCAATTGCATTTTAAGAAAGGTTGAACATATTTGAGAATATCTAACTTCTTTGACTTTCACCTTTCATACTTCACGTTTCATCAACCTCCCCCACTACAACCATTCTTACAATGCACGTCTTCGTGACTGGAGCCACCGGCTTCATCGGTAGAGCAGTCGTCGATGAACTCCTAACAGCCGGCCACACGGTCACAGGTCTCGCCCGCTCTGACGAAGGCGCCGCTGCACTGACAGCGAAAGGCGTTAAAGTAATCCGTGGTTCCTTTCGAGACCACGAGATCGTCAAGCAAGGAGCCAGCGAGGCCGACGGCGTGATCAACCTTGCATTCGATCACGACTTCAGCAAATATGTTCAGAACTGCATTGACGAGAAAGAGACCATCGAAGCTATAGGCTCAGTCCTGGCCGGAACGAACAAGCCTCTGGTCACCACCTCTGGCACTTTGGGACTCACCCACGGGAAAGTCAGCACCGAAGAGGAAGTCATTGATTACGAACGGCCGATGAACAACCGCGCCCAGAATGAGAAGGTGATTTCCAGTCTTGCTGAGCAGAACGTGCGTGCTTGTGTCATTCGCCTGCCGCCTACTGTACACGGCGATGAGGACCATGCTTTCATCGAGAGGCTTGCTATTCTGGCCCGTTCGCAGGGTAATGCTATCTACATCGATGAGGGACTAAACCGATGGCCTGCTGTTCATCGTCTTGACGCTGCTCGACTCTATCGACTTGCCCTAGAGAATGGTGTTGCTGGAAGCAAGTACCATGCTGTGGGCGAGGAGGGTGTCGCCATGAAGGATATTGCTGAAGCTATTGGTCATGACCTGGGTCTCCCGGCCGTCTCCAAGACTCTTGATGAAGCGGGGAGTCTTGATGGCTTCATATCCTATGTTATGAGCATAGATAACCCGGTTTCAAGCAAGAAGACCCAGGAACTTCTTGGCTGGGAGCCAGTGGGCCGGAAGCTTTTGGATGATATCAAGGCTGGCGTTTATTTCCAAAAGTGAGGAGGGGGTGATTGTTCGCTTGTGTGTCGTTGGGTTTGAGGGAAGGGTTGAGCATGCATCGACAGGAATGCATACCCAAGAGAGAAATAATGACCAATCCGGTTGCTAGCCAGATGATGCAACAATACCCACTCAAATCTAAATCCAAACTTTTCCATCATATTTGTGCTATGGGTAGCTCCATGATTACATAGCTTCTGCAAGGTCGGGATAGAGTACGCAGGTATAGCCCACAGTCAGATCTACATACTCCACCAGGACATGTCGGTTCTGTAAGCTAATTAAAGGATCACTATATGTAAATATGTCTAGGCATAGGTTTCATCTACAGAAAGGGTGGATATAATATGTCCAAACAGCGAATAAACCCAGAAAGTATGAGAAAACTATACTCCCCAGAGCAGTCCTTGACGTAATGATTACGTAAGGTACCCTAAGCCCTAGACTGCGGGCAGCCAATCAGCGAGCGCGGGCATATTCGCTTAGGAGCAGAAGCCGCCTTTCCTGATTAGTCACCTTACACCCTGCAACCACAAACCGTGGACCTCTCTTCACCCTGCTCATTCATCATCATCAATCTTGACAGGCCGGATTCCCTTGGGTTCTGCCTTGTGCACCGTTAACTCCTCTAGACCGATTGTCTAAAGTTGAGCGCCTCCCCCGGAAGGTCTCCGAAACACAACAGGCGTCATGGCGGAGTCCGTCCGGTCCAAGGTACGCTGAATTGGAGCTCTCCTGCGCGCTTCCAGCGACGCAATGCTGAATGAAATCGCGATCTGGAAGCGATCTGGGGAATTCGAGTATTTTTTTTTAATGTTCAATAACTAATTTGAATTGTTTGGTTTCATATAGAACCTCTACGAGCTTCTGGGTAAATTTCCCCTCCCTTGAATCCAATTCTCGGCTATCTTTTCCGACGACAATGAGCTCTTTCTATCCAGAAGAATCAAGCTCCATTCGCATCCGTTCTTCGGTCCATTGATCGCTAACGTTACCTATCATCAGGTAACGACCCAGAGCTCGACCCCAGCAGACCCGCTCCTCCCCCCACCAAGGCTATCGACCGCCCCGTTGACCGCTCCGGAAAGCGTGATGCCCCCAAGGAGCAGCCTGCTCGTCACACTGAGGCCAACGCTCGCCGTGGTGGCCGTGTGACCGCTGGCAACGAGGCCGGTATGTGGTTATAAGAATCGGTTCTGACGGAACACTCGGAACTAATGATTGGATAGCTTACCGTGACCGCAACGCTGGCCGTAACAACAACCGTGAGAAGCCCACTGACGAGGCTGCTCAGCCCGCCCGCCGTGGTGGCCGTGGCGGCCGCGGTGACCGCCAGTCCCGCACTGGCCAGACGTAAGCGATCCGATCCCTCGAATTAACGAATAAACCCCGAAGAAAGAAAAACCATGAGAAACCATGACACTTCGTGGGGAAAACATACAATTCGAATGAACGAAACTAACCTATATTTCGATATTACAGCGACACCCGCAAGCAGGTCCAGCAGGGCTGGGGTGCCGAGAGCGGCGAGAAGACCCTGGACGATGAGCGCCAGGGCGAGAAGATCGCCAAGAAGGAGGAGAACGAGCCCCAGACTCCCGTCGAGGCCGAGGAGCAGGAGGAGCCCGACAACTCCAAGTCCTTCGCCGACTACCTTGCCGAGAAGGCCCAGCGCGAGACCCTCGCCGCCAAGCCCGAGCGCACCGCCAACGAGGGCGCCAAGCTCGACAAGAAGTGGGCTGCCGCCAAGGAGCTCTCCAAGCAGGAGGAAGCCTCCTACATCCAGCCCTCCCACGAGAAGGCCAAGCGCGAGAAGCAGCGCAAGGAGAAGAACTTCCTTGACGTTGACCTCCGCTACGTCGAGCCTCCCCGCAGCGGCCCCGCTCCCCGCGGCCGTGGCGACCGTGCTCCCCGTGGTGACCGCCCCGCCCGTGGTGGTGAGCGCAGCGAGCGTGGCCGTGGTGGCCCCCGTGGTGGCGACCGTGCCCCCCGCGGTGACCGCCCCGCCCGTGGTGGTGCTGCCCCCGCTGCCCGCGGTGGTGCTCCCCGTGCCAACGCCCGTGGCCCCGCCGGCCCTACCGTCGACGAGAAGAACTTCCCCAGCCTCGGCGGCAACTAAATTGCCTAACCTTGTCGGGAACTCGTGCTCCCAGACTCGGATATCCTTTGTTTTTACGACTCTCCTATCCCTTTTCTCCATCTGCTAGGTGTGCAAGTTCACCCGGAGGTGGTATTTATTGACTCGCTTCATCTGTGATGGTTTTTATTTTCTCTTTTTATGGGGATTGGGCTTGGGGGGAGGTTTGTGGGATGTGAAGGATTATCCGTGCTCTGCTGGATGCAAAAACTGCCCAGATTTAAGTTTTTTCTTTTCTCTTGGGAAAAGACATATTCCGGGTTGGTCTTATATGTGTGTTGTGTGTGTGTTTACATTTGCCTTCGGTGAGCAAACGCGAATTGGATGACTGAATTCGACGGGCCCATGTAATTTGAATCGATCCAGAAGACGTCAACAAAAAAATAGGAACGCAAAGAAATCTTCAATTGAATTACGGGACATGTCTGTTTCTTTAAACTCTTAGAGAATTAGTAGTATCTTGTAGATCTTCCAATGTGGGGTTGTACTTCGATAAGCAGACGTACACTATCCGATGTATACGACGGACTTGCACGGAAATGGACCAAAATCAGGCTTGTATGTATCCTTGGATTTACCCAAGGTGCTATGGATTTAACCCTATTTAAGTATGTACTAATGATAATATAGCCAAAGTTGCAAAATTCTGGCTGGGGGTATGGATGTAAAGAAAACGAGAGACGCCAACAGATCCACTGTGCTAACGACGTCTCCGTCTATGACCCCTTACTGTGATGGAAGGTAAGCTTCTACAGCTCCCCTTCGCCATGGTGGTTCCGGCCCAACATGGTGAATTCCTTCGCCGCAGACTCGGCACTCTGGGCCCAAATCGCCAAAGTCTCCTCATCGACGTCGTCGAGGAAAGACAGACCAGGCATAGCCTTTCCACCACAGGCACGTTCCAACGCTAGGAAAGCAAAATGGCCACCAATGACAGGCCGAGCGAAGAAGTTTGGACCAGGGAAACCACCGTCACCTTCCGTGTTGTGCAAGTCTGTGAATGGACGATCGGTAGTGGTCTCATTGACCCAGCGAGCGACAGACTCGAGGATCTCTGTGCGCACAGGCTTAGAGGCGACAGCCATTGAGAAGAACTCCCAATCGGTTTTGGTGTACATGTGGCGGCTGTCAAGGGGAAGGCCGTACTTCTGACGCACATAGTGATACCAGACCGACTGCTTCTGGTAGATGTGGCGCGGAACAAAGCCAGGCGAATCAGTATCAGTATCCTCTAGGTGGAAGCAGAGCTGGGCATCGGCATATAGGTTGTAGATCGTTGTCCAAGAGCCATACCAGTCGTAGGCAAGCTTGGCATGGGAGCCATCTCGGGACATGCCAAATTCCTCCCATTTGGCGATGTAGTCGCTAGCAACTTTCTGCGTGTATAGTTAGTCAATCTGTCAGGACACACAGATAAAAGACGGTCGATACCTTGAAGTAAGCAGCGTCGGCATCGTGACCGGCTACTTCGGCGATCTTGCTCATGGCATTGATGCCCACAATCCCCTTGAGAGCCAGATTGGTCTGGAGAGCCAGCCAGCCTGCAAAGTCATCGGTAGAGACTGTTCTCGAAATCAGCTTGGATGAAAACACATCCGAAAAGACAAAGAAATTGTTCTTACGTTGATTAGCAGGCTCAAGGGAGAACTCCACTAAATATCCGGTCCACTGTTTCCAAAGACTATAGCTCCGCTTCACCCATTTCTCAGCCTGGTGCTGGCCCTTGCTACCCCCACCCCATTTGCTATCTTGATGAGCAATCCCAGACAGTACCTGTAGATTGTCAAGAGGGAACAGTCCAGAAGTCTCGCTTTCAGGGCTTGATGAGGGCAACCCCTGTGTTGACCAAATGGATGAGGCCGCGGTAGAGTCTTCATATCGAAGCGAGTTCACGATAGCCAAACCCATGATGAGAATGTTACCACACTCTTCAACCGGCATGTACTCGTCATTCCCGTCAGGATGTCCGGTGGCATTGGGGAAGTGTGTGCCCAAATCGTGCATCGCATACTTATTGGGATATTGCCCGCTCAGCATGTGCTCAATCAACGGCTCCAAAAGGTACGCCAACCATCGGGGATTCGTGTACAAGAAGAAGGGGAACGCGGGGAAGATGACATCGATAGTTTGGAAGTTGCCATTTGAAGAGATCTCCTTTAGGAACAGGATTGGGTCATCCGGGGTTCCTGAAAAGGTAGTTGCGCCCATGACCTGCCGCGCACTAAGGGCAACGATGTCAACATAGTCGTCCGCTCCCGATAAGTACGCGTCATCTGCCACTTGCTGCGAGTAATTAGATGCTAGAGAACTAGCTGCAGCGTAGTCCCTGTAATGGAAATTCAGGAGCTCCTCCGTTGTTGGGTACCAAGATTCCCACAAGGGTCGCATCAGGGTGAGCCCACGGGATGATGCATACTGAACAACGGGGATTTGAATAAAAGCGAGAGTAAAGGTGACGCTGTCGTCATAAATCTTGGATGAATGGCCGAGGTGGAAAGATTTGGAGAACGCAAAAACCGGCGTTCGGTCCCGAATAGCGCGGAATTTACCATCATTGGTGTTTCGCAGAGCTCCAGAGCTTGCGAAGCCTCGGCGTACATCAGTTGCATCTCCAGATTGGAATTTAGCGTCCTGTATGGTGATTAGCTATGGATCAGTTCATTTTGACGAGATAGGACTTACAGAGGGTCCAGTGAAATGAAGAGTGCCCCATTCCGCGCGATCGCGAGTCTCTGTGAGAAGAAGCTCGTTCTCTCTTTGCACTTGCCATCGATTGAGGGCAAGCTCCTCGTGCTCGATCTTCAAGCTGTCCAATCCCCACTTGATCTTGCTACCAGTATCTCCGCTAACCCAGCGGCCGTCA